AGTACAGCAATTAAAATGTTTTACTCAATGATGGATGATATTACCTTAGATTTTGAACTACATGACAAAGAACCGACAAGAGAATCTCTCATATTGCTGGTAAGGAAAATGAGTAATGCTTTTCTCTTTTCTCAAGATTCAGAAAAGTCGTTAATTCAATCATGGCCACTGAGACTCAAAATTTATTTGACTATCAGTCTAGTATATGTGATCTGGATCAGGAATAACAATGCTTTAGTCATTGAAGATGAGAAGGAGGATTTCAAAGAGTGATTTATAATTGATTATAAGATAAGGTAACAGTTATCGCATTACTTTAACTACAGTCATACAGATTAGCGTAGAAATGTTTTTTAAAAAAGGGTTATATGAACAGATTGTAAATAGTTATTCAAGGGTGATTTAATCCCATATAAATATTAGGAGTATTCAAATGTTTGTAAGTAATAAAAGTACTGGTATATCTGGTTCATCAAATCATATTCCCAATGTTTTTCTATCGTTAAGCAGACCAAATGTATAATGTAGCTGTTTGCAACAGGCATAATTCAAGAGGAATATATCTATAGATTCAAACAATACGATCTAAAAAAAAGCCAAGTGTTTGGTGGATGCCAATCGAGTACTATCATCTTAAAATCGAGGTATAAATTACCAGTAAAAGCTAGAAATGCTTTATTTTGAAGGATAGATACTTCAATAACAAGTTGGACAAGTCTCAGTGCCTTAAGTACTTGGTCTAATTCCCGTTTGACTTAAGGTGAAGTATTGTTCTTAATTATATTAAATTTAATTATCAATTTAATTATTATGCAATGAGCACCGGTACTAACATTGGAGTATCAATAATTGAACATCTTACGTTCTTTTAATTGTAATTGGGATTCTACTAGATACCCAAAATTCTGCTGCCATACTGAGAAGTTTCCAAATATTATATTAGAGTTTGGCGATACGAAAAAACATTCCTTTGTCTCTTTTGATTAAGCTTTTTAAGGGTCTTCAAGTAAAATGAATAATTATATAATACATTTTATCAGAAAAATTGTAGTTTTAGTGAATTATAAAAACTGCAATACAAAGAGTGTATACATATACAAGAGACTTGAACCTAAGGAACTAAACCTAAGTGCCGTGAAGGTACTGAAAGTAATGCCTTGACCGAATTGAAAGTTAATCTCGTAATACAATAAGCCGACGCTATTGCATTGTTGATATCGAAAAAATTTATTCTTCGAGCGGCTTAGTTGAAAAGTATATTTAGCTACTATCTCCTCGCTAATGAATTTCCCGTAAAATTGTATAGTAATGATTCTCATATTCGTTCTATTCTTGGGAGGAGTTTTATTTAACACCTCAGTAGTGGCCAATGGACATACACTCGAATTAGATGCATATTCACTGGGTGCTCATTGCTTTCCTATTATGACTGAAACAAAGGCAAGTATACCAGGTGGAATAATGGTCTCTTTGAAAAGTTTGGTGATGTATAATGGATATAAGCCAACTGATTTAAAGATACCGTTATTGTTATTTCGTTATGATGATATCTTAAACTTTACGACATTACCATCCATGGAGGAATATCGTAAGGGATATGCATCCAACTATAGTTCTACCACCTTAAACTGGGATAATTATTTCTTGAGAGACGTAGTAGACTTCGAAGAGAATAAGTTCATTTTGGATTTGTATGAAGGGCATAATAAAATTGATAAGAAACGAATCTATAACGGCTATTTAGATGCTGAAAAAAAAAATCGACATTCTGCAGTAATATTAAATGTGTTTGAATCTGGAATATATTGCGCTTATATTGCACCTCCTATTGATAGAGGAATTAAGAAGATGATTGCCCCGATCAAAGTATTTCGTTCTGAATTATTTTCAAGCAATATGCTTTATGCAAATTATTCTCAGACAAAATATATTATTGGTATTGGTATATTGTTAGCGGTGTATTTAATAAATCATATTCTGAAATTTAGAAAAGACGGACAATGGGATATCAAAAATATACCAATTATTTCAAAGGCGGTTATATTTTATGTATTATTACCATTCTTATCATTAATTTTTCATGAGTGGATTGTAATATTTATTGAAATTCATTGCAAGTTAAGTAGAAGCAAAATACGTTTCTTTGAATATTTTCGTCTAACGTACCAATGGATTCAACCTAATTGGGATATCTTGCTCCGGTTGTATGTTTTGCTCTTTGCTATGGGATATGGTGTAATTTATTATAATAAGGGGGCTTCAAGAACATTCAGTAAGATGCCAAAGAGAAATATGAATTTAGCATGGTCACTTGTTATTACTAATATAATTGTGACTAATATCCATCATGTATATGAAAACCATATTACCTATTTGAAGTCATATCAGTTTTTAACATTATATAAAGGGACGTTTGAATTCATATGCATGTTATGTTCCACCTGTTCCTCTACATTTCCCTCCATATGGAACTTCGCATCCTTTTATTATTATTTTAAAACAAAAGATATTATTAAGCAATTACCGCCTAGAGAAATGGAAACGGAGGGAATTGATACGAATATAAGAATATTGACAGCATTTAAACATTCTCAACTTATCATTGCTATATCGCCATGCATTCCACTATTGTCATTGATTACATCAGGCACACGCATGCTAGTCCTGTTGGTTCTTTCATTAAACAATTTTATCTCTGCGGAGATGAAACTGAGCGTCGAAAGATCATCTAGAGAAGAACTCATTTTTCTGGTGAAATTAGAGAATTATAAGTTACTTCACCTGATGAAAATAGCGATGATTTCATTTGAGACATGGCCAAGGGCTATTAAGATTTATGTGACTATCGGTTTGATATATATGATTTGGATTAGAACTAACAATGCATTCGTTATTGAGGATGAGAAAGAGGATCTCAAAGAGTGATAGACCATTGATTATTCGATTGGGAAAATTTAAAGTTCTAGTTGCAAAAGAGAAACATAAGCCACATAGTAATTGTACATAGTTAAAATTTAAACTTTCTTAAAAAGTCTTAAATATGTATATAAGATAATAGAGATGGTATATTAATTAGAAATATTGAAGATTGTATCAATACCTTGTAGAGTTTAGTGGAACGTATGCGTATCACCGTTTGCGACCTATGGAACATTTTCTTTTTTCCGGTAGAGCGGATTTAGAAGGAAAAGAAAAGCTAAAATAATATATAATCTAATATTGGATCGTTAACTTCTAATATTCTCCCAATGCTCCTCTTATGCGTTCTAGTATTAAGTGGAATTTTATTCAACCCCGCTGGAGTAGCCAACGCCTATGAGCTTACATTAACAGATCCCATGAATGATGTGTGTATTCCTATAATAAGTGAACCAAAGGCTGGTATACAAAGTGAAATCATGATAAAGCTAAAACTGATATATCCAAGGAATCTGAAGGTACCCGTATTGTTATTTCGATATGAAGATATTCTAAATTTTACTACACTTCCGTCATGGGAGGAATATGAAAAGGGATACGCATCTAATTATAGTTCTAATAACTTGAACTGGGACAATTATTTTTTGAAAAATTCAGTAGACTTTAAAGAAAATAAGTTTATTTTGGATTTATATAAAGGGTACAATGAAATTGATGAAAAACGAATATATAATGGGTTTTTGGATAGGTATAATCAACAAGCAGTATTACCGGTGTCTGAGTCTGGGATGTATTGCGTTTACCTTGCACCACCTCTTGACGCAGATGCACTGTTTTATCTGGGAGTACACCATTCAAAATTTCATTCAAGTGAAATGCGTTACACTAATTATTGTCAGTCAAAATATATTATTATAAGTGGTTTATTATTAGTAGTATACTTGATAAATGACATCTTGAAACGTAAAACAGATAAACAGTTGAAAATTAGTAACATGCCAATTATTTCAAAGGCAGTTATATTTTATGTGTTATTGCCCTTCTTATCTCTTACTTCCCTCGAGTGGTTGGCAATATTTATCGAAATTCACAGCACTCTAAGTGATCGCAAAATACGCTACTTTGAATATTCCCGTTCACTAATAGAATGGATCCAACCTGATTGGAAGATTTTGCTTCGATTCTACGTTTTGATCTTTAGTATGGGATATGGAGTAATTTATTATCATAGAGGAGCTTCTCGAACATTCAGTAAGATGCCCAGGAGAAATAAGAACATAGCATTGTCACTTTTTACTATCAATATAATTTTGAGTAATACTACAAAAAAATATGTTACATTTTTTAGGTACTTGATGTCATTTCCAACTTTAGCTTTATATAAAAATACGATTAGTTTCATTGGCATCATATGGTTATGCAGTTCGCTGGTTTTTCCTTTTATATGGTACTTTGTATCAGTTTTCTATTATTTTAGGACAAGAAATGTTATAAAGAAACTACCGCTTACTTTGGCTGAAACGAAAGGCGCTGATGCAACTACTAGAATAATGAAATCGTTTAAACAATCTATCTTTATCATCTTGGTATCATCAGCAATACCCCCATTAGCAAGACTTATAGCGTATTACCCAAGATCAGTTAAATCTTTTCGTTCAGCACATGGATGTTTTAATTTGCACCTCAATCTAATTGACAACGATTTATTAAGAGAATCACTCATTTTGCTGGTTAAATCTGCAAATGACACATTTATAAAGACCCAAAGCTTTGCAAATTCTTTAGACAGACGCTGGCCAGAAGCAATGGAAATTTACTTGACTATTGGTCTCCTATACGTGATTTGGATTAGAAATAACAATGCTTTAGTCGTTGAAGATGAAAAAGAGGATCTCAAAGAGTAGCCTGGCGTTATGGATTCTACTTTTAGTCATATGCTTGCAGCATTAGCCGTATTTTTAATTAATTAGAAAAAAAGCCATATACCCAGAATTATTATATAAGCCAAAGGATTAGCGTGTGTAAAGAGAAGATATTATCGGCTTTTATCATAAATAGGTGAAGAAATGTATGAGGAACGCTAAATCAATATGCTTAAATTTTTCAGCATATAACAGCGTTGCATTGATAAGAACAATTAAATAAACGAACGATAATAGAAAAAATTGATGTAGAATTTATATGAACTCTCCGCGTAGTTATTCGTTATCCATTAAGTTCTTCTAAGATATATATTGGCAAAAATGTCATGCTTTTACCACTTGGTACATTCTTTGAACAACACGCTTCGTTTCCAAGTATTAGTAAACAAATGACGGCAAATAAAGAATGAAATTTTGGAAATTAATAGCTTGGTAGAAGAATGGTTCTCATGCAATTTTGATCGAAATTAATTAGTTGAGGGTAAAGAGTAATTTCTCAATTTAAATTAATCACTAATGACGCGCATGATACTTCAATATGTATGTGTGATGCATCTAGTGAGCACTCATTGCAGCAAACAGAATCGTGTAGCATCATGACATAATCAAAAAAACTGATGAGGAAAACGAAAGATCTCTTTGGCTCATATTTTCGGTTTAAGGAATACCTTCAAAATATATATAAATTGCTGAATTTGCTCAATTTCGGTTAAATTTAGGGTGTTCTTTAGCAATGTTTCACATCCTATTTTTGAGTATCATTTTGTTTATCAGACTAGTGGTGGCTGGTGCCCATGTAGATGTATCTCTAGAGGCCAGTAACCAACTATACACATCAATACGGGCCGACCTCCAGCGAGTTGAGCTAGACGCAAATTCTCTGGGGGTTTCTTGCGTCCCTATAGTGAGTGAACCGGAGGCTAGTAGACATGGTAGAATTTAGGTTTTCTTGGAGGAATTGAAATTAAAAGATGGAGAAGAGCCAACGGATTTAATGATACCGGTGTTGCTATTTCGTTATGAAGATATTCTTAACTTCACGAGACTTCCTTCGTATGATGAATTTGACAAGGGATATGCATCTAACTACAGCTCTAACAGCTTGAACTGGGACAATTATTTTTTGAAAAATTCAGTAAATTTTGAAGAAAACAAGTTCATATTGGATTTGTATGAAGGGTACAATGAAATTGATGAACTGCGACTCTATAATGGGTTTTTAGTTGCATCAAAAGAGAGTATTAATTATGAAGCAGTACTACCAGTATTTGATTCTGGGATGTATTGTGTTTATATCGCTCCACCTATTGACAAAGATATTCAGATAATGAGCGCACCTGTGTCGATACGATATTCAAGACTATATTCAACTAACATGTTGTATGCTCATTACTGCGAAACAAAATATATTATTGGTGTTGGACTATTGCTATTAGCATACTTAGTACATAATACTTTAAGATTTACTAAGGGAAGACAGTTGAGCGTTGAGAATATGCCAATTATTTCAAAGGCAGTCATATTCTATCTTTTGGTACCATTATTATCATTCATTTCCCTTGAGTGGTTAATTATATTCATAGAGATTCATTGCAATTTAAATAGCCGCAAAATACGCTTCTTTGAATACTTCCGTCTAACAAATGAATGGGCTCAACTTCATTGGAAGATCTTGCTTCGGTTTTATGTCTTGCTCTTTACTATGGGATATGGAGTAATCTATTATCGTAGTGGAGCTTCAAGGACATTCAATAAAATGCCGAAGAGGCCTACTAATATTGCCTTGTCACTTTTTATTTCCAATATCATTTTGAGCAACGTTGACACAGCATACAATAAGTATGACACTTATTTAATGGCGTACGACTGTTTGGCATTATATGAAGATACTATCAGATCTGTATCTACCATATGTTCTTTTGGCTCATTCATCTTTCCTTTTATTTGGTACTTGCTATCATTCATCTATTATTTCAAAACAAGGAATATTATTAGGAAATTGCCACCTACGTCAACTACTACCGTAGGAGTTGATGCTAATACCAGAATAATGAAAGCATTTAAACAATCTAGTCTTGTCATCTTCATATCGCCATCATTTTCGGGATTGTTATGGTTTAGCTCAGTTGCACTCAAGGCTGTCAAAGCCTTTTACACAGCAATTAATGCATTTCGTTCAGATTTGAACATACATGAGAAATATTCAAGTAGAGAAGCACTAATACACCTGGTGAAAATATCGAACCATATGATGCTGTTTACGGAAGATAGTGTCAGATCTATGTTTGAAAACTGGCCAGGAGCTATCAAGATATATTTAACCATTGGATTGCTATATGTAATTTGGATTAGAATTGATAATGCATTACTCGTTGAGGATGAAAAACAGGATCTTAAGCAGTAGTCTGGTTTTGATTTTCGGTGGTGATAGTTAGGAAAGTTAGGTACTCAACGTCCGAGTAAACCTAGAAAATAGTATATGCAATTATGGGAGTCTTATATAAATAATATGCATATAGAAATACTTGCTTACATTTTTTTTAAACATAACATAATCATATATTACTTTTAAAGCAAACTATTTTAAAAGCTTTTCTAAAGCTTCGCCTACATCACCAACATCATATTCTTCTTTATTCAAATATTTCAAATTTTCCACTGGTCTTTCAGCTTGTGGAGTAATTCTGAATGCATGTCTTGAAGCTGGAGTGTCCCAATCAATGATAGCAGAATGAACCACCCTTCTGTTATCCCATACAACAACTGTATTAGGTTCCCATCTAGCTCTCAACTGTAAGTCGTGAGCAGATTCTATGTGTTGGAATAAGAAATTAATCAAATAATCAGATTCATCCTGCTTTAATTCAACAATTCTTCTAGAGAATGGACGATTTAAGTAGATAAATTTGTCTCCAGTAACTGGATGTTGTCTGATCAATGGGTGAATACTAGAAACAGGCTTTCTTCTTTCAATCCCTCCCTGATCACGAGAGTTAGATGCCTGGTCTTCTGAAGTATGCAAAACATGCAATCCTTCAAGTCTCTTTTTAAATTCAGGCGACAAACGGTTGTATGCCTCTACAACATCAGCAAATATGGTGTCACCACCGGCATCAGGGCCTTGAAGAACAGCAAAGAAAGTAGTTCCTGGAGGTTGCAATTCGTACGAAACATCAGAATGCCAAGAGGTAGAGTTTGATCTTTGAGAAAAGACACGGTCAAATTCACCTTTATCGGCACGACGGTATGTTATATGTAATTCTGGATGACCTCTTGGAGCACCCGATGTTGGGTGAATATGTAAACGTCCAAAGTGTCTACCGTAGTCAGTCGCAAATTTTGGACCTTTGGTTGCGAAATCTTGTTCTCTGAACACAACCACACCCCTCTGTGCAACAAATAATGCTAACTCATCCTTAGCCTTATCATCCAATTGCGACAATTGTACTCCAGTAACTTCAGTACCAAGCTTTGGTGTGATTCTCTTTTGGACATGTTGTGCGTCTTTTGGAAATAAATTTGACAACGATTTGTCAGCTCTGGCACCTGGGTCCAAATGTTTGAAAAACTTCAATGGAGGATACTTTTGTTTTGGATCCCATGTTGGAAGAAAATCCGGGTATTTCAGTTGTTCTCTATTTAATTTATTGATAACTAATGTTCCATCGGCATCAATTTCGTCTGTACCCGCAACGTAGTGAGTATCGTAGTTTCCTGATGCACTTGACATTTTATATTTTAAATTTCCTGTACTTTTCAAATTCCTTTTTATTATATAATTATATTTAACTTTTGAACCAGCCTTTTAGTATTACCTATTTTGTAAATTTATCTTCGAAGTAAGAAGAAGATAATTTCAATTGTTCTTTGCAGTGTTTTGATGGATTAGATATGTATTAACCACAGTTAGAAGGTGCCACCACCATCTACTTATATAGCAGTTCTTTTTTGGGAAAGCCACAATTTGGCCTAATCATCAGCTATAGTCGAATATTCCTCTATGGAAGCATTTTGCAATCCACAGTTTGTCAGCAACCGATTGGAGCGAATGGCCGCAAATTTTCGCACTATTCCATTACGCTTTGTGGGGTGATTACTAACAGCCACAGTTTATTGCACCATTGCGGTCAATACATGCCATACTATACACGCTTCCAATAGGTTTGATATACCATCACTAATACACCGTAGCCTATAACAGGATAATACATTATCTGATCTTAAACGATAGACCGTTTACAATCATTTCCGCTACTCAAGTATGGAAATTAGCTAAATAGTGGCTCACTGATTCCGAAGTCGCGAATGCATGATAAGTATCTCTACAACTTAATTGGGAGTCGCTTAAACGGATATTCCTATAATCATTGAAATTTTGTTCTCTTGCAGGTTGAATAGATAGCAAATACTTACCACGAATAATCAAGATAAGGAGCATTAAGATCAACACTAGCCAATAAAACGTGATAAAGCGAAGTCCGGTATGCATAACTTTCGTGGCGAGCGTACAACGAATTTAATGCCTGTAGATGGAATAATAATTAGAAATTCTATCATGGAAGAAGTCCAACGGGATTCCGAAATTGAGTACAGAGGTTGAATAAACTGAAATGATAAAAGAAAACGAGCAACGAGAAAAGGTCAACTTCAATGTATAGTTCAGCAAATATAAAAATTGAAGCCTTACATACTAAATCCGCTTGCAGATAAGCGCATGCTCACAGGCCTTGACGTGCAATAGACCAATACGAGTGATGATCAATTTAGTCGAAAAATTTGACATCATTCAAATCAGGTGTTTCAGGGATCTCATCTGAGGATAAGACTTAAAAATAGAAGTATTTTGAGAATTGACTATTTTTTATTCACTGGTACTAGTATATAATGTTGAATATATTACTTACGTTGGTGATAGGGGTGTTGTTGAATGCTGCTAATGTTTTTGGTTACCTGCCAGGCTATATTGGGAATGCAATTGAGTTAAATTCGAAAGATTATGGAGCATCGTGTTCTCCTATAAAATATACGCCAAATAGCAAAATGCAAGCTTCAATTGAGCTACACATCGATCAATTGGACTCAAAGGATAGATCTACTTTGAAGGACTTAAAAATCCCTGTATTGATCTTTCGTTACGCGGATATTTTAAACTTCACTTCGATTCGTCCAATTGAAGACTATTTTTATGACTATTCTTATTATTTTAGTGAGGGATCTTTGGATGACCAGAAAGAGTTTTACAAGGATGTGGTTGATTTTAAGCAAAACAAATTCAAATTGGATATGAGTAATGGCTACAAACTCAATAAGGATAGAATTTATAATGATTACTTAACTATTGATTCTAAAGATGAAAAACATATTAAGGCTGTATTACCAGTGTATGAGTCGGGCATATATTGTGCATACGTTGCGCCACCGGTAGATTCTGGTATCAAGAAATTGTCTATTCCTGTCAATTACAAAAATTCTTATGGTTATTTGCCATATATTCAGTACGCTATTTATACGCAGTATAAGTATATTATTACTATTGGTTTATTGTTGACAGCCTACTTATTTCACTACATTCTTAAGTTTAAGGTTGGTAAGGATTTCAAAAATATGAATTCGATTTCAATAATCTCGAAAGCTGTGATCTTCTATTTATTGATCCCTATTGTATTCCTTTCTATTGGTGATTGGTTCATTGATTTTATTCAAAATAACTACATTTCGAGTGGAAGTCATGCAACCATTTTCAAGTTTTTGAAAATGACCATTACTTGGATGGATTACAACTTCAGTATTATGCTCAGATTCTTTATTTTGCTTTTTGCTATGGGTTATGGTGTAATTTATTATCATAATAATGCAAATCAAAACTACAGGGAAATGCCTGCAAGGTTAATCAATAAGGCAATAGTTCTATTCGTTGTTAATGTATGTTTGTTTAGTGTGAGGGAATGTTTAGATTATTTTGGAGACAGTATCGTATCTGCAATGTATGGAGATACATTCTCCAATGGGATGCAAAAAATCAATCCTCACTTTGATCCCTCAGCCATTTTCATTGTTCATCAAATCATTAATTTCGCGTGTGAAGTATTCCCATTGATATGGTTTGTTTTGTCATTGGTTCACTACTTCAAGACTAAGAAAACCATTGCAAAATTTCCACCTATATCAGCTACCGCCGAAGGATCGGTAGATGCAAACTCGAGAATTATTAAATCATTCAGACAATCAATTCTTATCTTATTTGTATTGCCAGTTTTCCTTGCGTTCGTATTTGGTACATTTGTGGCTTACCATATTATTCATTCAAATGAATATTCTTTAGATATTCCAAATACAACAGGTAGAGAGGATATCGCTCAACTGGTCTTATCAATGAGAATGTTAGAAATTCTGACGTTTGATAACTCAGCAATATTACCAGCAGTATGGGTTTCTGTTTTGAATGTTTACTTGACAATTGTTTTAATCTATGCTATTTGGATCAGAAATGATAATGAATTAGTTATGGAAGCGTATAGTAGGGAATTTTCTAGTACAGGATCGATGAACCTGGAATATGAAAGTGATTCCTATTAAAATGAAAATCACCAATTCGCAAGTTACTAGTCCAGATTACATAGTAGATCTGATTATAGTAGTACGTTTATTTTATATCATTGATTGCCCTTGTTGAATTATATAGAATACACTTATAAATCAATATTTAATCTACACTAGATAATTACAATTGTTTTTAATTTAAATGAAGAAGGTCAATAAAGTTTAGTTTCTACGTCTATTTTTGAAGTTGGGCTTAAAGTTTTTCTTGTTCTTAAAGTTCTTAAAATTTTTCTTGTGGCCATTTGGTAAGCTTCTGTCAACAAGACCGATTTCTCTGGCCAAGGCAGTACCCAATTCTACGCCGAATTTTTCAACTCTAGCTAAATCTTTTCTAGCAGCCTCTGCCGCAGTCTCATCACCGAACTTTTCTGCTCTTTGAATCTTTTTATTGATCAAGTCAACTGCTAATTGTTTTCTTTCTTCTGGTGTTAAAACTGGAGGTTTTTGTTTAGCTTCCTCCTCTTTTGTAGTTTCTTCATTCTTTTCTGATGGTTGGATTACTTTCAAGGTCGATTCTCCATCATCCTTAGATTCTGGAGCATTTTCAGACGCTGGCTCTTCTACAGAAGGAGCACTGGTCTCAGCTTGTTGTGTTTCTTCAGGTTGTGCTTCACTAGATTGCGCATCGTTGTCAACTAAACGTTGAACCAAGTCAGCCTTTTTACCGTCTGTTGGCAAACTTCTTGAAATTAGCAATTCTTTCAATTGAACAACCGTTTGGGATGAGTAGTCTGACATGTTATTTGTGATAAATTATATTACTTATAGGTTAATTTGATAGCTATCAAACGTCTTATGTGTTGATAAATTAACTACGCGTTGAAATCGCCTGTGTGCCAAAACCATATAGCTAATTCGAATAGTACTAAATACCGAATTAAATATAACTAATAGTGATTGCTACACCATTATATAAAGCATTTTACTTATTAAAGGCTTAGATATTTTGATAATTCAACCCAGTGTAATTTAAGTTTCAATTATTCTTTTGAAACTATGTGTGTAATGATTCCTGAAATATTTTCACCACCTAAATAGATCGTATTTTGGGTTTAATTTGTATGCGGTGATAGCCTTTATCATGATTGATAGCCTTTATCATGACTCACTTAGGATGTGAGTTTATAGACACCTTTACTTTGATGTGACAAGAATTCTGATCCATATTTCTGTTTCTATAAGTTCAGAAATGGCTACATGTGCTCAATAAGACAATGCAAGGTAGTATAATTCGTACATAGTAACTGCTAGTTAGCATGATAAATAATGAATTGTATCTGAAGTAGAAAAAAAAGTCCCAGCTCGTTAAATTATATATATCCAGAAGAAGTTTGTTGAAATGCAGTTTTAGAAATAGGTCTTTCCCTTTCGAAAGTTGTAGGATTCACGTTTTCGATAAATATTACACAGTTACCTTTATATTTAGGATCAAGAGTAATATGAGAATAACAAGATTAATTATTAGTAATACAATAACTGTTATTCTTGTGGCAGGATAAAAATCTCTTGTTAGCATCATCTGCACTTGATAATATCTGTAAACACCAAAAAGTAGCGTGATACCTGCTAGTGCAAAACTTAATGTACCCAATGGCTTACCTAATTGTTTAAATGTTACATGCAAATGATCTTCATGAATCTTAAATCTGGTATCATCAAAAGCAGCAGCAGCAGTCTTTTGCTCAATACGATAGAATTGAGTAAAGCCAACACCTACCAAAATGAATGCCAGAGCAGTTCTTGTCCATGCCAAAAATGTTCTTTCATTTGATAACTAGAATTGTCAGTATTTTATCCAATTGATAGGAAGTTACAGTATATTTCACGTACATGATCTCTGGCTACGGAGCCTTTGTTTTCCAACATTAATGACGTATAGTTGGCATATTTAAAATATGGGTAGTCTATGGATTCTAATTGCTTTTCATCCTTCTCTATATCTTGGTTCTTATTTGAATCTTTATCATTGAAGACTTCCAGTGGATCAGACGCAGAAAAGTTGGTAATATCCTCCGAATTATCATCTTTCAGGTTTAATGTTTTTCTTGACTTATTCGTCTCAATTCTTGAAGTTTGATATTCATAAGAACGACTTCTGTTACGTAATAGAGAGTTACGAACTAATGGCCCATCTTCATTCATATTTACCGGTAAAACAAAAATCAATATTATTGCTATATTTATTGAGATTGATATCGCACTCTGGAACACATGGCTGAAAAATGTTCAATACATTAAAACCACGAACTTTTACCAATAAAATTTATTAATATATATATAGAACTATTATCTTACAAGTATAATTACAAAAACATGAAAGGAATGAAACAGAATTAGAATTAGAATAATTTACAGACTGAGCGACGATACTTAACAGAAAAAAATACTAATATTCCATTTCATCATCTTCATCTTCACCACCACCAATGAACATTAAGGTCTCGCCATTATCAATTTTTTGCCAGACGCCGATATGGTCGTATTCTAATATACAATCATCAAATTGCTGTGCAGTATAACCTTTTGCAATAACTCTTTGTCTCAACTCTTGTAATGGAAGAGTATGCGACAACCTGGATCCGTCTCCAATAGCAATATTTCTAATGATTTGATAGATCTTAGAAGTTGAGGATTCGTCTTCTCTAACTTGTTCGTCATTTGCGTATAAGGATGACTTGGAGACTTGAAGCAATCTCAAGGCCTCATCAACATCTTCATTTGAAACAACGTTGTCAAATCTGATTCTTGCCAATGCTTGTGACATTCTTAAAATACCTAGTAAGGTTCTTGGTGTGATATGAGAAAATTTCTTCACCGATCCTTCGTTTCTGTGAGATTCTTTTCTCATATTTATGTATGATTGTACCACATAATCACCAATTTCTTTAGGAACAGTTGGTCTATATGTTCTGGCAATAGATATATACTGTCTAATCGTGGAAGAATCTATAGGCTCAAAGTCCATTTCTGGTTGTTTGTTATGCATATGAACATAGGCAACATGATGAGCTAATTTTTCATCAGATTCTCTAGAAGGTTGATCTAAAATCAAGAACATAATATCGAACCTAGATAATAAAGCTGCTGGTAAGTTGATGTTTTCATGAGGAGATAACCTAGGATTATATCTACCGTACAAAGGATTTGCTGCTGCTAAGATTGAAGTTCTTGCATTTAAAGATGTGGTAATACCGGCCTTCGAAATAGAAATTGTTTGTTGTTCCATAACTTCATGAATTGCCGTTCTATCTGATTCATCCATTTTGTCGAATTCATCAATACAGCAAATACCGTTATCAGCTAAGACTAAAGCGCCACCCTCTAAAACCATTTCATCCGTTATTGGGTCTCTCATGACAGCTGCTGTTAAACCAACACCAGAAGAACCTCGACCAGTAGTATAAACCGATCTTGGAGCAATTTTACCAATTGCCTTTAACAATTGCGATTTGGCTACCCCTGGATCACCCATAAGACACACATTTATGTCACCACGAATTTTCAATCCATCGCCAATCTCTTTAGTGACACCACCACATAATAATAACAATAAGATTTTTTTGATATCTAAATGCCCGTAAATTTCTGGAGCAATTGATTTTGCTAATCTATTGTAAACACCGCCTTGATTGAACAAATCTTGAATTTTAGCTTTGGCTTCTGGAGTAATTTCTAATGATTCGTATTGTTTTTTATGTTGGTTTACGTATTGGGCTTCCAAATAAGTTTCTGTCAACAAACCAGCCTTTAATGCTCTAAAACCGGTATAAGGTGATGGCATAAACACACCAGAAATATCAGCCACGTCACCTGGATTCAAAGATCTTACTAAATCTCCGTTAACATTTATGGTCATGGATCTTGGTATGTGTCCGACTGGAACTTGATTTGACATTTCTTGAATCTTCACTTCTTGGAAAGATGAGAACTTAGAAGCTCTCGTAGACATGAATAATTGACCCTTATTGTTATCAGTCTTACAGGTTGGTGAAGTACACTCAGTCAAAGGAGTGAAAACCTTTGAAGAAACTTCTTGGAAAATTTCGAAACCACATTTGTCGCAAGTATAAGCATTAACTAAAACAGAAGGTTTGACATCACTAACTCTTGTAACAATACCCCTGACAGTAATAAACTGACCAACATACGCACCTTTGATCTCTCTCACAGCAAGAGGTTTACCAGAACCTCTAAACAGATCGCTCAAAGGCTTGAAGTATAGGTAGTAACGACGAGTCAACTTCGACGGAAACATATTGTCGGCTTGTTGGTCTTCTTGAGTCATTTGTTGGTTTTCATTATTGTCGTCGAAATTATCTCTCAAGTTGTTAAATTCTTCGTGGTTCTCCTGTTGTAATCTCAAGTTTCTCAATTTTCTTTGGTGTAAAATGACATCCAACACGTCATCCTTGTACGAAATATCCTTTGTTGGCTCCGGCATTAACTCGTCTACAACTGAACTGAACATTTCAATAAATCTATAGGTATTCTTCGTGATTTGATTAATCAACGAACTAGGCGAAATCACTGATTGCGATTGTGATTGCACATATTGATTCTCCTGGTATGACTTCAAGTCATCTAATTCGATATATAATGTTGTAATTTCTCTATTAGCGATTTTCTGCAATAAATGCATATATTTAGGTCCTCCGCTGGTTAAATCGTCGTCTTCAAGATCGAACTCAGTATCACCCGATGTCTTGAAATGGGTCAAAAAATCTTTTATTGAATTCTTGATTTCTCCATAATTAATATTCAATTGAATAGATGGTAATACTGTCGAAGTAGTAGACATGTTTAATGGTTTAAACTAGATCTACGGACAATTTATGAAGAAAGAAGGATGAACTAAAATAAGTAGATATGTAATTTACATGAAAAATTTCGCACGCGTTATAATTTACCCAAATTAGGAAATCCACTTGAAAGGGACAAAATGATTGCAATAGGTGCAAAATCGAGATCCCAACGTATGATCAAGATTTATAGAGAGAAGTCGTTGCAATTGTTAACAGTGGTTAATTTTAGTGTTTATTAAAAAAATATTCAGTATTATATAATGTCAAAGAGTAATAAATATACTTCCAAAATAATTTTTACTCTGTGGTAAAAATGTCCTGTAGAATTAAACAGACATTAAATCAACCAAGGCGAAAGCAGCAGCTCTTTCGTCTGCTTGATCATTGTCAGTAGGTTTGTGACCGTTATCGATTGAATCTGGATCATCTTTATTGTTTTGGTGACTTTTGCGTAAGGATTCTGCTCCAATCGTAGCCCAGTCTTCCTCGTCAGTGTCACTTATATTTTCGTTTTGCTTTTGACGCTGGTTAGGATGGGGTTTACGGGAGTCTGAATTAGCAGGTGGGGACTGTGTTGCACTGCTTGGGTGTAAATTCGATTGAGAATGGAAATGTGAGTTTGTGTGAGGTGAGTTTCTTGGGAGTGAAGATGAAAGAGTAGATCTGAGATGAGATTCATTGAACGAAGACTTCCTACCACCTGACATCGCAGTGGCAATGCTATCTAGACCATCGGGGGAAGCATTGATGTTATTTTGCGTGTAACCCGAGTTCCAGGATGCGAGCGGCAGACTCGAAATCGTAGTTGTAACCGGAGGAGGAGGGGAGTTGATAGAAACATTCGAATTTTTTGCCGACGAAAGAATGTAATTATCAAAATTTTCTATCGAGTTTAGTCTTGATCTATTGAATATATTTCTATGAGCGTGCGGATAAGCTTGTGTATGTTTCGAAATAGAGGCATTGTTGGATGATGAAGATTTCCTACGCGACGCACCACCAGGGGGTGGACTGAATTTCAATGGCACCCTATTCGCAAACTTGATAGGGGGCGATTTGGTATGCTTAAACGTCTTAAATTTTCCGTCGTCGTCTTGGTCGAACGTGAAGAGTTCGTCATCATCATCATCTTCGTCACTATCGTCGTCCACGTCTATATCCGCACCATCGTCAATGTCAGATAACGCATAATCACTTTCAGAGTCCAGCTCAATCGCAGCCGACATGTCTCCCATCGGCTCATTGGGTAATTTCAAGTTATGCAAGTTTGCCTGTCGATTCGTTATCGACTCTCTTCTTGCCTTATCTTGCTGTTTCTTCGACCATCCTAGCTTCAAACCAGCCTGATTTCGCAACTCGTGTACATTTATCTGTTTCTTCTCTCCCTCTTCCTCTAGCTTCTCCGTTCCCTCTGTCACAATATAATCACTATCCACTTTCCGTACTGCCCATTGACCCCACCCTATTTTTTCAAAAACAACATTATTTTCAGGGTCCATCTGCTCCATTGCAGCCATAATTAACCGCCGCTGTTTGGATAATGAAAGCATCTCAAATCCCTGCACTTCTACGGACAATTGACTCGTTATGTGTCTAATCGGAAGCGGTCCCTTCCGTATTAACAAATTCGCCAACCGTGTCGGAGTAATCTTTGACGCTACCTGTATTCCCTCGCGAGACGATGTCGAAAGCAAATGTTTCTTGGAGTTTGATCCATCATGTTTACCAGGTGATGTCGACATATCTGTCGATAGTGATTCCAATTTTTGTTCTTCACGCTTATCGTGGGTCTTATCTGACGTCTTGTCTCCACCGTGTTTATTATAATTTTCTGATGGTTTCGGAGTATTTTCCGCCATCGTCATATCGTTCTGTTTATTATTCTGCTACCAAAATACCTGATTCTAGTACCTATATCTGTTTTACTGTCTAATTGTAGTATATATTCTCTTTTGCTTATGTTCCTGATAGTGATACCGCTGAAAAATGACTAACACTAGCAAGTTAGAAAACACGTGTACTAACCGATTATTCTGCTAATTTGGGGTAACCGCGGGTTCGAGCTCCGTACGCGCACTTATGTCGATAATATTCGCTAATATGAGTATAGTGGCACCAATAAAGAATAGAAGTTCCACACTTTGGGAAATTTTGAGTTTAAATCTTATAAAGGGTCATATCGTGCTTATATACAATCCGCAATATTGTAGATTGTGCCACGCATTCCCAAACAGTCATATAATATTTGTACCAAGAGTATACGGTGATTGCATGATGTCGGTTGTCTTACGTGATAGTGTTGGCCAAAAACCCATCCGTTTTATGGAGGGGTGTTCCACCCATAACGGACTATTTTTAAGACTCCCGAGGTGGCACTACGCACTCAAACACTGGCACCTTCTGTTTATGGCGAAGGTGGCGCACAGTACTGAGTGTGACAGGGTCACTCCGACTCAAAGAAGGGAGGATGTGAAACTCACGATGGTAGAAGCCCGTTTGGGACAACGTCCTGAAACCGCAGCTGCGTCGCAAACAAGGACGAATGCTGACGTAAATAGTAGACACACGGAAATAAAAATAAACGGGTCACGCAGCCACAGAAACACGCATCCATACACCAAGACATAGGCCCTGCACCCCAATTGAGCCAATGTTGGATTTTTTTGGGCCATAAGTCACATGGCCGCTAGTAGAATCCGGCACTGGGACTAGTTTCATGGGGGTGCTTAGAGACGGTGATGGGTTGAAACCGCTTGTAGAGTTGACATGGGCAAGAGAAGCGTGCTGGTGGCAGATGGTAGGGAAATTGACCTTTGGAGATAAGTGGGTGGTTTTTTCATCTCGATGAAATAAATCTGGTGATAGTGCGATCAACCACTGAAACTCCGAGCTGAAATATTTAGTACCTCATCGGATATATGGGGACACAATTGGTGAATATTAGCAAGATATTGCAGATAATCGAAAATATCAAATATGGATACAGCACCCAGGTTACCCGATTCGACTGTGGCAATGCTTGTTGAATCATTAACGGCATATTCTGTTGGAAGTACGCCCAACCGGATTGGGACGTTGACAGTGTTTGAAAGTGGGGGCCAATTAGTAGGAGCCATTGATCTTGGAGACCAGGAGAATCCAAAAGCCGTGTTGAAGGACGATGCTCAGAAGGTAATGGAGGTTGCTCATTTGTTAGTGCAAACTGCCATTGGGTTTGACGATGTGATGAAATATGTCAAGGTTAGCTACAAGGATCGAGAGTTGCTTGTGATTCCTGGGGAACAGTATATTGTTGCAGCAGTGATCGATTCTACAGAATAGGATGTCGAATTCTTCAAAAGATATATTCATGTTGAACTGAAGAAAAAAATAACAGCGACAACAAAAATTTGCTATATATATAAGAAAGACATATATAGATTATAAAGCATTAATGTTTACTTTAAAGACTAGGGATCGAAAGCTTCATTTCGTTCATAAACTAAGCCATTAGCTGGCATTCGTGATTAATAAATCTAATCCGTTTACAATGATGGGAAGTTCTTGTCATTGACAGCAGGCTTCTTAGCAGAAGAAGAAGGAGCTGGCTTCTTACCGTTGAAGCCACCTCTTTCGCCACCTCTCTTTCCACCTCTCTTGTTGAAACCACCTCTTTCGCTACCACCTCTTCTGGATTCGGATGGTCTGGAGTTGGCAGTTTGGTCAGCAAAGGAAGCTTCGATATCTAAGAACTTCTTTTCCTTAGCGGCCTTGGCCTTGGCCTTCTTGGCAACAGATGGAGCAAAGTAAGCTTCTTGTTCCTTTTGGATCTTTTCGGCGGCAGTCCATTTGTCTTCGCTACCAGCGTTAGCTGGTCTAAGGTTCTTCTTACCGTCTAACTCTTGTTGCTTGGCTTGTAATTGAGCAAAGTAATCAGATAAAGATTGCTTTGGGGTGGCGTCAGCTTCATCGACAGCGGCGGCATCACCGGTTTCGAGTTCTTCGACAGCATCGGAGACAGCATCGACTTCAGCTTCGAATTCTCTCTTTTCGCCTTCCTTGAATTTCTTACCGTCAGACTTGTTGGATCTGGAGTGACGGTCGAATGGCTTCTTGTAGTGTTTAGATGGAGTAGCGGATGGAGCAGAGACATTCTTGTTATCTGGCTTGTTCTTGAAAGCACCTTCGTTACCGGTAGCCTTGGACTTCTTCTTAGCCTTAGCTGGGTCAGCCGATGGTGGTGGAACATCGGACTTCTTGGATGAGGTGGTGTTCTTAACTACCTCTCTAATTGGAAGCTTTGGAGTTGAATCATCTTCAACATCGTTACCTAATAAATGGTATAAGTTCTAATTTTATGTTAGTATCCTCAATTGTAACACTCCGCATGTTGCTTCATAATCTCATGTTCAATTCATTGTCAATTCCCCTTTTCCTTCATTAATCTTCTTCACCCACTAATTGCCTACATTGCAAACCCTAACCGTTGTTCATATGTATCAATCTGGTCTATCTACATCCTTTTCTGTGGCTTTATGCTCCTTTTGATATCGAGACCCTTATCGTACGATTGATTGACAATTGAAATTATTTCGACAACAAATCCTTCACTATCGATCACAATTACTTACTTTATTCTCAAAAGACATCTTAAATCAAAGTCTAGCTTATCTTATAACTATACTACTTGTATTCTAAAAATTGCTTTGAAGAAAAAGGTTGAAAAATTTTAGCTGACCGTCCAATTCTCAACGTCGAGTTTTGTGAACTTTTGTGTAACTTGGCCTTACTCACTAGTTGGACTAGTAATACCCAATTGTGTGTAAATTACAG